TAAAAGATTGGTTGACTTTTTGGAAATAAAATAATAAAAAAAGTTATGCCTCGCGTTCAATATGAGAGAGAGAGAGAGAGAGAGAGAGCGGGGAGGGAGATGGAGAGTTGACTTGTGCGGCGGATCACAAAATAAGTGGCTATATTTTGCAAATTAGTCAACTAATACTTTTAAATTATTGAGCAAGGAATTTCCACAGAGAATTTGCAATTAGAGACATGATAAATATTCGTCTAGAAATTCAATAAATATTTGATCAACATATAAGAAACAAAACAATTATACTATATTTTTTCTTATTTAATTAACTTGATATTTCACCCAAAAAAATCTGCTCGACAAACTCAGGTTATATTCAAATGAGAAAATTTTGAAATTTGTTGCGTCCTGGAAAATTCGCAGCGGTAGAGAAATATAAAATTTATTGCCATAGCTTTGTACGAAGATCCAGAATACAAGCAGATGAAAGAGATGAGGGTGTAGCGTTCATAAAAAATACCAGAGTTTTTACGTGGAAACCCCTAAAAGGGGGAAAAACCATGGGGGCTTGGCCCAGTTTGAATGAATCCACTAGTGCTTGTAATAGATTACAAATGAAGCCCATCCTTAGGAGGAAGGCCTTAGCTCGAAGTAACAAATATATATCATATAAAATGCATTGCATGATGGAAGTTGGAAGAATCAATGTTTATATGTTTGTTTGGGGCAGCAAACCATAGTCGACCAGCGATGTTGATCGGAAGAATCATATTCGACGGGTGAAAAAGGTCGGAAGGATCGTAGTCTGTGAGCGACATAGGTCAGAAGGACCGTTAAATTGCGACGGAGGTCTGGAGGATCGTAGTCACCGAGTGACGGAGGTTAGAAGGACTGTTGTTGGCAGACAGCAGAGGTTAGAAGGATCGTAGTCGTCGAGCGACGAAGGTCAGGAGGACCGTAGTAGGCGGGCGACGAAGGTCGGGAGGACCGTAGTCGACGGGCGATGAAGGTCGGGAGGACCATAGTCGGCGAAGAATATAGTTGGCAGACGACAGAGGTCTGAAGGACTATAGTCTGCAAACGACAGAGATCGGAATGACGGTAGTTGGATGACAGTGGTTGGGAGGACTGTAGTTGGCGGACTAGCGGAAGTCCTGCGGTGTTCGGCAGACTGGTGGAATTCCGATGGCGGACGGAAAACTATGAAAGTCTGACGATGGTCGGCGAGCAAGCGGATGTCCGACGGAGTTGATGAACTAGTAGAAGTCCGACGGCGGTCGGAGGACGGGTGGAAATCTGGCGGCGATCGGCAAACTAGTGGAAGTCTGGCGGCGGTTGACTGACTAGCAGAAGTTCGTCAGTGGTTGGCGAGTTGGAGGAAATCCGGCTGCGGTCGACGAACTGTTGGAAGTCCGTCGGTGGTCGACAGGAACTCCGGCGGTGGTCGGCATGAACCTCGGCGGTGGTCGGCAGGAACCCCGGCGCTGGTCGGTAGGAACTCCGGCGCTGGTCGGCAGGAACTCCGGCGCTGGTCGGCAGGAACTCCGGCGGTGGTCGGCAGGAACTCCGGCGGTGGTCGGCAGGAACTCCGGCGGTGGTAGGCAGGAACTCCGGCGGTGGTC